TGAAGTTGAAGAATTAGAAGATGAAGATTTATTTACTGTACTGTAGCTACATGTGCATGTCATACGCGCGCACGCACGGAAGTACACGTACGCGGTGTCCAGCTGCCTTATTAGCCTGGTACCCACGACGCACTCTGGGTACCAGACCATCTTACTGAACTCTTGATCTCCGGAGTCAACGTTACGAACAGCGCCACCGCGCGCTCTATTAAATAAGCAATTTTAATTCCAGCTTTTTAAAATTCTAATTTTACATACTGTAGACCACTCACAACTAAATAAAAACAGTTTATTTGTACAAAGAAGGTTTAAAGAAGCCAAAAAAAAATCATTTAAGAGATTGTAAAATTTAATTCCGGCATAGACCCTTTAATGTCAGTTGTTGGAATCTGAATCCTTTCTGAATGGTCTTATATCGAATGAGTTGCTTTCCGATCACCTTTGCAATTATGGGCTCTCTTAATTGTTCCAAGCCAACATTGTCCATGCAGACGTTTTCCTCTCGGAAGATTAAGGTTATTAATTTTGACAAATTTAGGCAAAACATTGTAGCGTACACTTGGGTGATCTTGTCCCTCAAAACCCGGTAACGTAAAGGAGAGGGACAGATACAGGACTTCCAACGAAGAATTTATTCGTCTTCATTCACCAAACTCGGTGCACAACCCTCCAAAACGGCCGTCAGAACAACTACTGCTACGTGACACTTTAGCTCTACAAAAACACAGCGTATCACAATGTATAACAATTTCTAAGGCCGCCCTGGCACTTTTCCAATTTCCCTCCCGCGCCCGCCAAACCACAACGCCCCAAAAATAGAACCCAATTTCCGGTGCGCACCCAGCACAACAGAAACAGGCCAGGGCACTCCGCCGGAGGCCCTCCGCCGGCGGCCCTGGGCGCCGCCGGCGGCGTACGAAAAATTAACATGGCAATAAAACATGAAAAGGGCTATACAATTGTCCGTTACTCTACCCCCTCCTACGAAAAAGCCTATTCTCCAGAATAGGGCACATTTCTAAGATTTCACCTAATTTAGAAAAACGACTGTCTTGATTAAAAGGAGATTCATACACACAATTAGAAGAAACACAGAAATTAAGTCAAACAATCATCACAAAACAACAATGTTAATGTTCACTCATTTTCAAAAGGCTTAGGCCTACCTGGGTGTCCGCGAGAATGTTGGTTAGCGTTGATTTAGGCCCCAAGTTTGTTCCCAAATCAAACAAGAACACAACAGTCAGCGAGGTCTATCCACTGCATAGTCACTTGTTTATCTGGCCTTTTCGCCGTTTAGACTGTCTCTGTTCCAGGTTCGCCACCAAATATCTCCTGGCTCTCTGAAGCCGACTGATTCGGTCTCCCTGTACGTGCGCAGGCCCGATGGTTCCTCCAGCGTCTCACGTGTAACCATGGTGAATTCCTCCCTCATTAGTACGGCCTCCGTTTGGGTTGCTGTGTCCACCCTAAGGCTCCAACGGAACTCCTCCGGCGGCTCGCATTCTCTCAGGCCAGCTGTGTGAGTTCTGCTTGCGAAAAACCATCTGCCCCTGAAGTACAGCCTCCCCTCCGACGGTAGTTCCTCTTCTACAGTGACCACCCGTCTGACTGGGACACCGCCCGCTGCTCCTTCAGCCTCTCCACCGGCGGCGCCACCGTGTTGGGACCGGACGTGTCGGGCTAGGTAGTCGGCACGCTTGTACACCTGCAAGCACTGACGGCAAGGGAAGCTCCGCTCCTCGTGAGCTGCCTTTTCATGCCTTCGTCTGTTATAGGAAGAGGCGTATGTTGCCCGCACACTCGGCACTGAAACAAATTCCTCTCCATCTTGATCTCGGACTGGTTCTGGAATTGTTGACCAGGCTGGTTGTTTGCGCTTTTCNAAAATCCGACAGAAGGTGATCTTTGCCAGCCAAGAGGTGGAGTCCAAACTGCGCTACGAACCACAATTAGTTCGTGAGATGTTCCGGCACACCCTGTTAACTGGCCTGCGTAGTGAGTCCATCAGAAACGAGCTCCGCCCTTACCTGGATGATTCCGAGACCACTGATAAAGTCCTGTTTGAAAAGACGAACAGGTTTGCAAGTATTGAGGCGGAACGGCGAAAGAAGTTGGACCACACCAGACCAGTAGCCATCAGTGAAGTGCAAGAAAGTCCAAAGCAGACACCACCACCAAAGCAGGGGCTCCTCATGACCGAGATAGCCGAGCTAAAGGCTGGGATCGCCGAACTGTCATCACTGAAGAGTCAGAAGACCGCACTACAGGAATCACTACAGATGTCACCCCAGAGAAAATCCCAGACCGGACGAGGACAGCCCTCAAGACGGCGGGGTTGTCCCAGGTGCCGAGAGGAGGAACGTGGGTGACCCACACTTGAAGCAGTGGTCACCAGACCATTTTGCACGAGGTTGCCGCAGCAAGAAGGATGCCAAGCAGGGAAACGAGGGCCGGTTGCTTCCACGGGACCGGGAGTAACCACCAGAAATAGGTCCCAATCAGCCAAATTTCATCACCTTGCAACGACCAAGGGATCTAAAGTTTTCATTTGCCATATCACACCTAAGCAACAGACAAAGATTACCAACCTGGTGGGGCGAAGGTGTACAGTGGACTGTCTTCTCAACAAAATACCTGCAACAGTACTGTGGGACACTGGTGCCCAAGTGTCTATCCTGAGCTCCATTTGGGTTGAGAAATTTATGACAGGAACAACACCTCGTCCAGTCTCTGAGCTCTTAAGCTGTGACAGTGAGCTAGACCTCCAAGCAGCAAATGGGACGCCAATCCCGTTTGACGGTTGGATTGAAGTTGAACTGCAACTTACGGCACCCAATGCATGTCCCCAGAAGGTTACCTTCCCAGCTTTAGTCACACCAGGCAACCTGCAGCAACCGATTATAGGCTACAATGTGATAGAAGAGATTGTTAAAGGTTCAGAAGGGGAGTCGATCAACAGCATCCTGGGTGGAGCCGTGCGAGGTCTAGACCACAATCAAGTGAACAAGTTGGTCCAGCTGGTTCAGGCCAACAACTCAGATGATATGTACAATGTGGTCTCTGGAAGACAAGATGTAGTCATCCCATCCAAGAGTGATGTGGGCATTCGCTGTCATGTCCACGCTGGCCCTCTCGATCATCCCATCACAGTCCTATTTGAGCCTGATGTCCGATCCCACTGGCCGGAGAACTTGCAGGTCAGGGAGACTGTTGTCACTTTGACTCGAGGGAAGTCTTGCCCCATTACAATCCGGGTCACGAACCCTACTGACCGTACCATTGTCCTCAAACGCCATACTACATTGGGTCAACTTTACCAAGTCAGATCAGTTACCCCTGTTTGCCCATCCTCGCTGGATAAGTGGACCCCAGCCCCTGAGCAGAACGCCATGGTCAGCACACTGAGCTCAACCGTTCCTGCAGGAGACACCTGGTTACCTCCAGTTGACTTGAGCCACCTGTCCCGACCCCAGCGCACAGCAGTAGAGTCACTACTAAGAGAGGAGTTAGCAGCATTTGCCAAAGATGGGGACGACATGGGATGTGCAGAAGGCCTTAGAATGACCATCAAACTGAGTGACGAGACCCCTGTCCAGAAGACCTATACGTCGGTTCCTCGACCCCTGTACCAAGAAGTGAGGACATACCTATCTGACCTAATAACACGTGGATGGATCACCAAATCCAACTCACCCTACTCATCGCCCATTGTATGTGTCCGGAAGAAGGATGGCACTCTTCGACTGTGCGTGGATTACCGAGAATTGAACCGGAGGATTGTGCCAGACCGGCAGCCAATACCTCGTATTAAAGATGTCCTCGACAGCCTGGGCGGAAATTCTTGGTTTTCCACACTCGACCAAGGGAAAGCCTACCACCAGGGGTTTATGGCAGAAGAGAGTCATCATCTCACCGCATTTGTCACGCCATGGGGGCTGTATGAATGGGTAAGGATCCCCTTCGGCCTCACAAATGCACCGGCTGTGTTTCAGAGATTTATGGAGGTTTGTCTTGAAGGACTCAACGGTGACATTGCAGTGACCTATCTTGATAATGTGCTTGTCTTCAGTGACACCTTCCAGAAGCATCTTCAGAATCTGAGGACAGTGCTGAGGCGGCTCCAAGAAAACGGGGTGAAACTAAATCCCAGCAAGTGTGAGCTCTTCAGGAAGGAGGTGCGATATTTGGGCAGGCTAGTGTCTGCGGAGGGACATCGGATGGATCCAGGTGATGTCGCCGCTGTGAGAACCCTCCGTGATAAGAAGCCAGCCACTGTTGGTGAGTTGCGGAAGCAACTCGGGTTGCTCGGGTACTACCGTAGCTACATCAAGGATTTCTCCAGAAGGGCGAAGCCGTTGTATGATCTTCTGACGGAAGACCCCAGTGAAAATCCATGTAAGCGCCACCCAAAGTCAAAACCAAAGACCCCAGTGAAAAACAAGATGGGACAGAAGTCATCAAAGCAAACGATCCATTGGACAGACTACCACCAAGATGTTCTTGAGAAACTACTCGATGTACTGGTTGCTCCACCGGTCATGGCCTTCCCTGACCATGAAAAAACCATTTATTGTTCACACCGACGCATCTAAGGAAGGCCTCGGCGCAGTACTCTATCAGAAGCTTAATGGAAAGATGCGGGTCATCGCATATGGCTCCCGCACACTCAGCCCAGCCAAGAAGAACTACAATCTACACTCAGGGAAGCTCGAGTTCTTGGCATTGAAGTGGGCCGTGACAGAAAAATTCAGAGACTATCTGTATTATGCCCCACCCTTTGTGGTATATACGGATAATAATCCTCTGACTTACGTCCTGTCCTCTGCTCAGCTCAACGCCACTGGCCAGAGATGGGTTGCAGAGTTGGCGGACTTCCACTTCACGATCAAATACCGACCGGGTAAGCAAAATGTGGATGCAGATGTCCTCTCCCGAATGCCCGTCAACATTGATAAGTATATGTCTGAGTGCACAGAAGAAGTGTCACCAGAAGAACTGGACACAACTGCCAGTGCTGTACTGTCTCAGGATACAGGAAGGACCACTTGGGCTGCAGCAGTCTCAACGGACCCCGCACCACTATCCTCAGCTGGTATAATGCAAGACACTCCATCTTTGACAGCTTCTGACTTGCAGAAGGCTCAGCATGAGGACCCTAGCATTGAGAGGGTGCTACAGTACCTGAAGAAAGGTCACCGTCCTAGTAAGCATGAGAGACTAGGGGAACTCCCATCAACCACATCACTTATGCATGAGTGGAACCACCTGACCTTGGTGAACGATGTTCTGTATCGGAAGAAAGGTCGTCGATCCCAACTGATCCTTCCGTCCCAACTTCGACAGAAGGTCTATCAGGAACTCCATGAAGAAATGGGTTACCTCGGAGCAGATCGAGTGGTGTGTCTGGCGAGAGACAGGTTCTATTGGCCTCACATGCAGAGAGACATTGAAAACTACTGCACCAAGGTATGCTCATGTCTGAAGCAGCGGAAACCAAACCGTCACACAAGGGAACCACTTGGGAGCATCGTTACTACGGCACCATTTGAGTTGGTTTCAATCGACTATGTCCATCTTGAGAAGTGTAAAGGCGGATATGAGTATATCCTAGTGGTGGTTGATCACTTTACCCGGTTTGCGCAGGCTTACCCGACCCGAGATAAGTCAGGCAAGACAGCAGCGGATAAAATCTTCAATGATTTTATACTGAGGTTTGGGTTTCCTCATCGTCTACATCACGACCAAGGGAAAGAGTTTGAGAACCAACTGTTTGCTAGACTTCATCACCACTCGGGTATCGCCAAGTCCAGGACCACGCCCTACCACCCAGCTGGGAATGGACAATGTGAACGGTTTTACCGAACGCTACTTGGTATGCTGAGAACCCTCTCGGATGCAGAGAAAGCCAACTGGAAAGACTCCATCAACAAAGTTGTGCATGCGTACAACTGCACGAGGAGCGAGGCTACTGGGTATTCGCCCTTCTTCCTACTATATGGGCGATCTCCCCGGTTACCCATCGATCTGATGTTTGGACTGCAACTAGAGACGGGCCCCACAACAACCGACCACAACAGATTCGTCAAAGAGTGGAAGGAACAGATGGAGGAAGCTTATGCCATTGCTTCTAAACATGCAGCCAAGTCAGTTGAACGAGGAAAGAGGTACCATGACCAGAAGGTGCACAGCTCAGTACTACACCAGGGAGATCGTGTACTGGTGAAGAATGTGGGCAAGCATGAGGGCCCAAGTAAACGGTCTTACTGGGAAGAGGAGGTGTATATCATCGTCGAGAGGAAAGGTGATGATTCCCCGGTGTACAAGGTGAAACCAGAACGAGACAGTGGACGTCACCGTGTTCTTCATCGGAACCTCCTTCTTCCATGTGACAGCCTCCAGCCAGGTCAACCTCAGCACCATGTTCCCCAGCCCCAGCGCCAGCGACGGTCTATTCAAAGGTCACATCGCAGAGATGGGAGGAGCCAGCAACGAGCAGAAAACAGTGATGAGAGCTCAGATGATGGAGACTCACTCACCATTGTTCCCGCTCCATCTCAAAGGCCCAGGTCAATTGAACTTGATCCAGAAGCAGAACTTTTTGACCTTGACCCAACCACTGCTCATGAATTTGCACTAGAAGAGCATCCTCTGGGAGATGATGGAGTTCAGCAAGATGCAAGGACAGCCTCAGAAACCAATGGAGATTCTCCAATGAACTACCCCTCAGCTTCAGGGGCAAATGATGGCCACAATCCACTTCCAGAGGTCCAGGAAGCAAACAACCCACCTACGACTGAACTGACTGAACCAACCCCTACCTTCAGTGAACGACCAACTAGGCAGAGACGTCCACCACAGATGTTCCAGTATAGCACCTTGGGGACACCAGATGTCAGCTGCATGGACCCTAGAGTGAACACCCTTTAGCAAACTAGTGCCCTGCCTTCGTTTTCCCAGATAAGATGGCAGCAGACGGTTCCTGTTCTGGTGAACTACTACCCGCCTGCCTGGCCAAACCCGCATGGACAGCCCTTTGCACCGTACCACATCCGAGGATGGGTACAAGCACAACAAGGAGCATTTCCTCACCATGCCTAGAAATCAACTGCATCTAGCTCTGAAGACTATCACGGATGGCGGATTTCTTGCCCATCTCCGTGACAGCACCAGTGGACCCTACAAGCACAAAGCGTGAGAAGACGAGCCAGCAGAAATGGAAACTACTGTACAGTGTGAGCATGACTGGTCCATCACCAGAGCATAGTAGCCAGCTAGTCTACCTGTGAAGCTCTGACGAGAGACCCAGTCATCGAGGAACGAGCTGCTGTGCTCTATGTTCAGCATCCAGCTGTCCTGCCGGACAACAGTTCAGACCAACGCCCATTAGGATCTTTATCTAGATCAGGACGACATTGAGACACTGAAGAAGTAGCTACCCTTCAGCTTCTCCCAGTCTCCGATGGGCCATCCAAATTATTATAGATGCGGGAGTGTGACACGCCTCAGAAGTGGACTGAACTGTACTCTGCTGATTAGAGACACTTAGAGAACAATTGTGGTGTGCTTGTATGTTGGGACAACATAAAATTTTGAAGGGGCGAGTGTTGGGAAGATGGAAATTGCCCCCCCCTATTTTCTTTTGTTTAACCTTATGTTTTCTCTTTGGAATGTCCCTGTACATAGTGTATATTGCTTGATGCACCGCTAGATTTACCCATTAGCTACATGGATCAGCCCACATAGTTAATTAAGTGCCACATCATCACAGGGGTGCAGCAGGGGTACAGGAAGTGGCTTTGGTTCATTGTTCTTTCAGTGATGACCAAGTCCACATGTGTGTGTCGAATAAATCTAGTATTAGAGTGTTTCCCTGTATCTTATGCTGACTGAAGCCCTCATTCTTCTTTCAGGTATGTAGAGTTTCTTCCCATTTTATGATGATGCAAGTGTATTTTCTATTATATTATTGTATAACTTTTAGATGTTTAAGACTTTAAACTAAGACTGGACTCTCAGTTGGAGGAATTCTATACAGTACACAGAAAATGTCTTGATCCAGTATTTTCCCTCTGAGAAGAGTGTTGAAGTGATGTAGTTGAAATTTCAATACTAGTTACATGTACTCTCGTAGGAGTTCATTTTCAGGAATGATTTTAGAGTATTTTATTAAGGAACCCTTTTGAATATTTGCTGTGCCAGGATATGCTGTATGAGGCATGTAACTCAGTGTACAGAAGGCCTAGCCATGCCTTAGTGTGTGTAGCATAGGGTTCACTGACCATAGTTACTGACCCTTGCGGATTAGGTCCAGTGGAATTTCCTGGAAGTGACTGTTTATCTCCAGTAATCTGGTAGTAGTCTGGTCCAGTAGACCAAGTGAGTCACCATGGCTACAAGACTTGAGGCCAGAGTAATTCTTTAACTTGTTATTGGTTTGAGTAGGACCAAACATGATTTGTTTACGTCATGGCCAGAAGAATTCTTTTTGTTGTTTCCAATGAAGATTATTGTTGATAGTAATCCTTTGCTGCTACAAGAACATGTTTTCTTTTATGGTTTCGTTTAAGAATCATTTGGAGGATGCTATTGATTATTTTTAGTTTAAGATGTGGAAAGTGTGATCTCATTCATTGTTCTTTCAGCGATGACCAAGTCCACATGTGTGTGTCGAATAAATCTAGTCTTAGAGTGTTTCCCTGTATCTTATGCTGACTGAAGCCCTCATTCTTCTTTCAGGGTCATCGAACATGAACACATTTTAACGTGCCCTGTGTTGGTTGTTAGTCGGACAGCCGCACGGGTGCAACAAGTGGATATGTGACAAACTAGAAAATGAATGAAACTGTGTACAAATAAAGTTTGTCGAAGTCATCCCATGACGGATGAAAGGGAAAGTCCCAAAATTGGAAGCTTTACATAGAAACCCAAGCATGTGTGTAAACCGTTTTATTATGATTATAAGACTTTTACTAAATTATAATACTCCCATCATAACAGGACAATCCAACACAACATAATTTTTTCAATTACATGATTGTACATATGCTTGAAGAGGTGTTTTATTCTTTGTCGCCCAAACTGTAATACAATAACTGTTGGTACTATTAGAAGATATTCCCACAAAACAGTAGTGATACATGAGAAAAACACAAATATAATCAAAACATTCACAATGATGTTACACTGAGGCAATGATTTGGAAGACATCCAAACAACTCCTCAAAGAATGTTCAATTTTTATTGATGTCCACAAACCACAGAAAACGAGGTGAACCCTCGCCCCGTGTTCGTGGATGCCAAACAATGTGTGTAGCCATTGCTTGTAGCCATTGTTTGGCATGCACGCATGCTTATTATAAAACATTCGAAACTAGTCTAATAAAGAATGAAGTTATCTGTTGTGGAGATTCTCAAACGTACGGCAACCTTTGCCACAGAAAAAAGGAAATTAGACAGAAACGCATGTACATGTACGTGTAACCCCAGGGTCGATCAAGAAGCAGCAGCTGCGACGAAACAGCCTTTTCAAACAGTGACACTTTTTAAACCCAAATCCACATGCAGTCCCCAAGACCTTGGGAAGTCATTTCATTGAGTGATAAACACAAGGCCCTCCCCAAATAAAGAGAGATGAATGATCTCAAGCCCATGACCAGACCGCCTCCACTGGGGGAATGCCTGAACCACAGACACTTGCCTGAACAACTTCCAATGTGTGAAATATCTTTCTACTACTGTAATGAAAAAAATAAGATCAGTCTTGGCTTCCTCTGGACAGATTTTAATGGTTCAAAAAGTGTTTTCGGAAAACTTTTCGTGATTTTGTATTGCTGACAACTTCCTTTCAACCAAGAAAAACTAAAATTTCTCCAAGTTATGGTGCGTGACATTTCTTTGCCAAGGGTAGTTAACATTTTATATTATAGACCGTACTGCGAAAAACGCTCCCTCGGGAAGCATGTCTTCAAGATGGCAAATACCATACCAACCAGAGTGAACAACAGGCCTACTATACTGGGTTTGATTTTTGTAGCAACTAGTAATCATCAGTACGGGGACATTTTTCACTCAAAAAGCTTGCAGAAGTGAGAAACCAAATTGAGCGAGGTGAACTTCCACGAGTAATTGGGTTCATGAAAGGGCTCTTAATTTATTTACTGACAGTTAATCGACGCATACATGCTAATTTAGCTGTTTCCATAATCATTAAAAATATGTATGCACACTTTTAGCATCCACGTCAACAGCGTCAGGTCCGGCTGGACCCAGGTTGACCATTGATGATTAATGGTTTATTCACATTAACCATACTCATGATGGTGTGCACATACTCATTTACACCAAAGTGCATGCACCCTGTACTAAAGTCACAACATGTCTGAAACATGTTGAAGAAACCTGCGATGAAACTTTCAGAAAAAAGTACCTGACGAGGTGACATGCAAGAAGGGGACTCCTACCCAAGTAAAAGAAAAAAATCATAGTCATAGTTGGTTGGACTTCTATCGTGATAGTGTGCCTTCAAGTTCACGTAGCACCATCAAAAGACCAGAGACTGGCAAAGATAGTTTTGGTGATCCATCCCTCAAAGAAGATAGTCCTGCCATTGGAATGTTATCCGATGACAAAGTTGTTAGATTCACAATCGTGTGATGTTTATGATGATTTAACAGAGTTTTCCGTCTGTGAAGCCAACAACAGCTCAATTCACATACTGGATAAATCAGATGAACCTGAAGCAATGAGAGTTCCTCTTAGCCCAATAAGTATAAATTTACCTTCTCCACGAAATATAAGTCAAAGTATGAAATCATTAAGTGGCAAGGAAAATAAGAACATCAGACATGCATTAAAGAGAAACAGAACAGAACATAAAAGAGACAAAATACCTGATCATTGTAGAGAATGCCCCGAGCATCACATGAAGAAAGGGAGATCATGGATCGCAATTATGAAGTTGCCCTCAGATTATGGCATCGTTTCAAAAGCCTACATACATGTACATATATAAGGACAAGTGGTTGGTTACACATTGCACAATGACAAAATCTACTTCTCCTGCCCAAATATTCTTAAAATTGCTGGGATAGAAATAAATAAAGGCTATTAAAAAATTGACAGGATTTTAGAGCAGAATTTTTCAAATGGTCCAGCAGCTTTTTTGATGCAAGGAACTAAGCGATCATGGATACTGAAAGATGCTCTGCTGGCTATTCTGAAGCACAAAATTTTCTATAATCGAGCTAAAAAAGAGATTGTCGAACACGCAATGCTCAAAATTGGAAACGAAACGTCAGTTAATTTTGCATGTGATTCTTCGAATTCACATATACTTACTGATCCAGAAGACAAAACTGACAATGTGAATGTGAATGGAAATGGTCACATCACATTGTGTGGACTCATTGTACAATATGTTTTACTCCATGATGAAATATATCTGGTGTTTGAACAACCTTTTAAATATGTTGGCTTTCATGAACACATAAAGAGGAACTCATGGAAGTATATATATAAATTTATGTTTAAAAAAGCATGGACATTACCCAGCTACATCATTTGATACTTGTACAAAAAGACATAAAAAAAAACTTTTAAACTTTGAAGGACTTACAATTTTATTAACAAAACTGAAAATTGGGAATAAACTGAGAAAGTCAATAATGCATACAAAATTAAGAACAGAAATAAGGAAACTTGCTAATACTCAAATACAGACAACACCCAAAAATCATGCCAGCACTTCTGTGGAAGACATTGTTAAAAAGCAATTTTGGGGCAATAAAAAAGAATTTTTGAACTCCTTTGCTTCGAATGAAAATATATTCTAGAAAGAGACCTAAGAGTGTTAAACTTTTGGGCAAATCAAATGACTGCCTGGTAGTTCTGATAGAAAAATGCAAGTTCTTTACATTTGGGGGATTTTCAAGAAACATCTTTGCCTTTTTGTTGCCCAACAGATGGCCACACCACAAAAAGAAACTTATTGGAAACTACATGTATATCACACATTGTAAAATCTCAGCGCTAACAAAAAGCCTCCTTGGATGATGCATGGAAAGGTACATGTACATGTAGCATTAAATGGCTTGCGGTTTTCGATAATCTTCCTTTTGTTATGAATTTCCTGAGCTTGCCATAGCACAGTGGGCAACAAGGTGGGTTGCGGTGGACCGCGGCGGGCTTCTAGAGTTGGGAGGGTAGCACCCTAATTTACATAACAATAGCCCAGGACACAATGGAGGATTTTTAATGTGTCCCAGCCAGAAATTTTGCGCCACTTGGCGCCGCATCCACTGGATGTATTAGAGGAGGATAAGAGGTGCCGGCAAGCACACCGGCGAGTCGCGGTGTGCCCATAAAGCATAACATGGATGCCTTGCCTTAGGTGATCCGGTGGTTTTCTTTTTCTTTTTAATTGCATTTTTAAATTTGCAATTCAGTACCAAGTATCATCCATATAAGATAAAACTTTTTTCCTCTAGCTTGCAGCATTTCTCCCAACAGCAGTTTAATGACAGAGCTACCAACAGCCGTACCATTGCTTTACACATGATTCTGCTGCTGGAGCCTTGTGTAAAGTTAACAAGACGAATGCGAAACCGACAATGAGGTATTAAAATGTAACAGTTTTGTGGGATGAAAACTACCAGCCAAAACAGTATTATTACTTATAATTAGGTAGTTTTAGTTAAAGCAAAATGCTGAAAAATATTACAGTATGGAAAACATATGTTTCTTTAAAATGGAATTGTCAAAATGCAAGTTGTTACCAATTACCGATATTACCGGATATTACCGGTAATATCAGCACAAAATTTGACTAAGACCAAATATTATTGATATTACCATGTTATTACTTCAATGATATTACCTGTGTGATACTATAATCGTTATAACTTATTTTAGAAATTGGTCATGCATTGAGGTTATAGGACCAGATACTACTTACTTTTATAAATTCACTCAGCATACTTAAGGCCAATTTCGACCAATTTGTGAATTGGCATGTGATGCATCATTTGTCCAAAATTTCAAAGTCCATATGTTACTGTAAAAACCCTGTTGAAACCCAAACAATACCCAGTAACAACAGGGTAATAAGAGATAATGTGGGTAATCAAAAATGTTCGACTTGGTTATAACAGAACGAACTTGAGTAATAACAGAAAAACCACTGTCAGACTGAAAACAAAATCCTGTCCACAAAGTTTCTGTTATTACCATGTTGAAACCCTAATTTTAACTGCAATGGGGTAACAAGAAATAATGCCGGTGATAAAAAATGTTTGACTGGGTTATAAAAGATCGAACTTGAGTAACAACAGAAAGATCCTGTCATCCGGGAAAACGACAGGCTTAGTGTGTGTATGCAGTACTTGGGACATGACTTGTAACTCCATTATTTTCTTGTTTAGAAAGCTTTCCTACTTTATTTATGCTTTAGAATGATTTTGATAATTTGTTAACGTCAGAGCAGCTTTTAAGGTGTGTTCTCCACATATTGGGCCAAGTGCTCAGTGGCACACTAACTTTGTTAATTGGAGTTTGCAGCAGACAAAGCATGTCGTTTTTCTGTTGTTTAAATTCAACTGTTGATCACACCTTACATGTATCTATTTCCTACATGTAGTTGGTCCCCTACAGTCACAAAATGACCTAGCTATACTTTTAAGACCAAGGTCGTCTGTTACCATAGCAATCCTGCCCCCACAGGACCTCAGTTGCCTTAGGAATGTCATATTGCCCCTTGGGACTTTCCCTCTGGCTCTGCTCCGTTTTAAACCACTGCACCTTACATTCCCTTCCATGCACTCCTGCTGCATGCACATTGATCACTCCAGGCTCTGAGCTCCACTTTGAAAACCATATTCTCTCCTTGTTAGCAGTACCCCCAATGTGGTAAGTGCATTTTCTTTCCATTTTTCACAGTTTACACATAATGACAATGTCTTAATTGTATTAAATAATAAATACAAGCACGTTGGGCATTAGTTTATGAACAACACAACTTGTTTAGGTTCTTCTCATTGCTTTGAACTCGAAATTGAAGAAAGGCAAGCATGTCATACACACGTACATCAAAATCTTTTAGAACTTCACCAGAAGTCAGCTCTATGTCAGGATTGGATAATGGCAAGAGCAAAAACACTGTCCCCGACAGGCCTTGACACTTAAGAATAAATTTCTTCTTTCCGTTCAGGCAAGTAATACTTAAGGACAATTTGCCGGATGGTCACAAATTTTTTTCTTAAAAAAAAAGGGTCCATTTAGAATAGCAGTCAGCAAATGTACCTTTGATTTGATTTCCTCTTCATGAAAGCTTACAAAACAGCTATGTGGTTACAAATTGTAACCTTAAAATATACTTGCGTATATTAATGCACGCTGTGCATTTTAACAGGACACCTTTCCACATAAGGGAAAGTGCGTATAAACTGTAAAATACACTTGAGTCTGGGTACCAAACCTCATGGCATGCAGCATGTAGCTGTGACTTCAACGTTAGTGAATTTTGCCTGGTACATGTACTTGTGTATATACTTTTTTATATATGACACCAGGCAAAATTATCAAACGGTTAAGAAATAGACATTGCTTGAACTTGTATGAATGATGCATCAGAGTCGTGAGCACTCTCTGCACATGCGCAATAGTCGGGGCGACAGTTAGCCGGTCTATGATAATCGTCAATTTTGTAACATGTTTCTAAAAGTGTACACAACCAATTCACCTCCTCTCACCCCTCACCCTCCCGGTGTGCACTTGGTACACTCGTTAAAATGATGACAAAAATGGATGACCCCTAAGGCCCGCCCATAGAGGTACACGTACAAGTAGGTGTGATTCCTTTACATTGAAAATTGCTTATTTGGGGAACGGTCAAACAAATTTCTCACTTTACATTCAAGTAATGTTTTCATAAGCAACAGGTGTCCAGTAGACTTTGCGATGAATTGGAATGAAAGAGCCACTTAATTCCAATCATTTAGCATTTGGTTGGATGCATTGATGTCTCTCGTTATGGTAGGAATGGACGAGTTGATTTAGCATTTTTGTGCGTATGTTGTAGAAGCCAACAAGTGCTTCAAAGTAATTGGCGGCAGGTCAAGAGAAACAAAGTGAGGCGTCCTTTCAGGCATAGAACACTAAGAGTTAGATGTAACGAAGTGCCAAATGATTGGGGATTAGCGGCAGATCCGACAAACTTTGTCATTGTGACTCGTGCCCAGCCTGGCTATTATGAGAAGAACTGGATAAAGGCAGTCAGATGCAATTGTTACTTTGCAACTCCGGGGAGGTAATAGCAGCGGAACAAGAGAAACAAAGTGAGGCATCATTTTTGCTGGCTCATAATTCATTACTGACGTAGAGGTGCAATTGTCAAAGTCTCACTCTCAGTTAGATGGGAATATCATGCTACAGTTGATATTATAACACAGGCAGAATGAATGAGCTATATGAATGAATGAGCTATATTGAGTGTATCAAGTGGTAACCCCTATTGATCTTATAAAATGAACAAGTTGGTCAGAAAATGTGACCTTGGCATCCAGCATGGAAATTCCAACACCAAGCATAAAAGCACCCAAATTGTTAAGGTCGCATCATCCAACCAGCAGCATCTGGATCTGGCCATACATGTAGCTTTATGACCTATGACAGGTTTTGTAGGGAAGTGCTATGGAGCCATAACACTACTGTATCATGGTGCCAGAACACTGGCTTAATTGCAAGCAGCATGCCATGTCCAAACTGTGGTGAACCCATGGACAGGTGAACCCTACAGGAGAAACACTGCTTATTGGGGAATGCACTTTGTCGGTCTTTCTGCAGATAGGATACCAGTCAACTCTGTAGACATTATACACAGAAATGATCTGGACACTGACAGGTTTTCCACTGAAATACTAATTTTCGATGTAAATGGGTGTTTCTATAAATATGGAGGCCGATACTACAATCTGGCGATTGATATGCATTTCTCAATAATGCACAGTATATTTAAAAGACTAGCCGTTTTTGTCATTGTATTTTATTTACCTATGTATCATTCCATAATTCTAATCCCCTATTTTGGAAAACAGTCTTCANACAAAGAGGAATTTTACACGCAGAAAGTCATGGTGTCACTACATATTTTGTGGAAATCACTACCCGGGCAATACCAAGACTTACACCCCTCTCAATAGTTAGGTGGGGAAAGGTTAGGAAAAGTCACGGGAGTTCGATCAGGTGATGCATGGCAGTTAGTAGAATGATCAAATCACATGATTTCTGAGACATTCTTGCCACAACATGGCGAGCCAAATACACTGTATCTGAATCATCTGCCATAAACATGGGTCAAAGAAGGAAAAATCATCCGAAGAAGAGGTCACAAAGTACATGTAAGCCTGTACATTTTTTTTAAAAGATATCCACCTTGAATGATGTTTGACTCTTAGTAGGGCCTATAATTTGGCCTGGCATTTACTTTCTCCTGGAACCACTATTTGTATTCGTTTTATGAGAATGGAAATTAAGTGTGCAACGGAATTGCATCCCAAATGTAGGATTCACAAACTTTCATAACTGAGCGTCGTTATAACAGTGTCTTATAGAATCAAAGTTCTAAATGAACAGCTACTGTGTTTTAGTCTCTCTTTTTTGCCATTAATTGTTCGTGGCCTTTTGTCTTTTTAATCCGTTTAACCTAGTTATGCATGAGTCGGTCTCATCAGCTCATTATACTCATGCATATCTGTGTAGTGATGACAACAAAGAATTATGATTTTTTTTTAAAGTGTCCAAATTGAGTGTCGTTATCGCTTTTTTATTCATTCAGCACTACGATAGACAATGTTCCCAACACCCAGCCAAACGTGATGCCCAATGTACATGTACAGGCGGTATTGCGGACGGCCATAAGGGAATATTTAGATATCCGAAATCCACTGATCGACCAGTAAGTTCCCCATGATCATTCCAGAATTGTTTTTAGTTATGACTCGAAAAGCAAGTTAAAACTAGAGAGAAGTGTTTGTCATCATGACGTCATCCCTTTGCAAGAAATCTTGCATCCGGGTCTTTGTTGGTTATCACTTTTGGAACGATCAAACACTGCAAAGTTACAAAAATTGTGGCTCAAAAACGTGTACAAAGTCAATGGGCTATAAACTTGTTTGCAGAAACACTGCTCCTTTAAGTTCATGTCACGTGATTTGCGCTTAAACTGAACAATTTTTATGAAATATTACTTCATAAGCCCAGGCAGGTGTAACCGTAATTCTGCAATAGTGCCCTCATAGCCTGAATTAGGACAGTCCGAAAACTGTGTACAGTCTGTGTACAAAGTCTATGGGGAAAAATTAATTCTTAAAAAAACAATAATAAATAAACTCCATAAGTTATCACTGTGAATTTCTTCTAGGACCGTCCTTGGATGATTGTTTAATGGTCTGCCAAGTTTGAAGTCGATCAGATTTAGTAAACTGCCAAAGTTGACGGGTGGAAATTGAGTTGAAACAGAAAAAAAATATAAAAAAATAAAAAATAAAAAAAACAATGCCTGTTTCGGCGAAGTTGCCGAAACAGCTAATTATGCTGTAATTCATTTGCTGTCTAGGTCCGGTATACAAATTACCATAGTTTGATCGTACATGTTCATTTTTTCTGATGAAGAGGCAAAGATTTGTTCGTCATGTGGTGCTGCAAGCACCAAGGCTTTCTTTTCTGATTCTGTATGTTTGTTTGTTTTTTTTGCAGGAACGCGAGATGGAATGGAAACAGGAACGGTTTAACACGAAGCTGGATTTGAGGGACGACGATGAGGATGGGGACGAAGACAACGACACCGATCCCAGGAACACCAACGTGTTTGTTATCTCTGTCCCTTTCACGGAGATGTTGTCACCGCCCGATATTGTCCTGACTCGTAAGATATCCTTTCAAATTCCTTAAAATAAAACATAAGAGGTCGTGTATACGGTTTGTATAATTCGGTCTCACTCTTTGGGAACATCGGAAAACCAGTCAATGCAGCAACAAAAATTTAAAATTGTTCTCCATATTTGCTTTTGTTTTGCAGAACAACTTCAGCATACTGCAATGCCCCACAGCCCCAACCTGATGGCCCCTACCAGCCGGATCCCCATATGCACAGAAAAATTATTAACTGTACAGTAATGATCTGTTTGTAAATGGTTTTATGATCTGAATAAAAACGAATAAGAATGAGAAAATGTACTGAAATGAGTCAGTTGCCATAATTCCTACATGTGTCTCCCATTCTAATACATGTACTTATATTTACCGTCTTGTTTTATGTTAACAGTTTTGCAACGCTAACATGTCTGAGATAACTCATAGGTCAGGGATATTTCTATTTCTTGCGCATGAAACAATTGAATACCAAGGGTAACCGCTGTTCTTTGTTTTAGGTCATGGACGTGTATAACAAAAATGGGCAAAATTGGACATGGGTGCTAAAGCGTCACATAACTATAAGCCGTAAACAGTTAAGATACAATTTGCCTACACAAACAGATAAAGAAGTAATCTTGGGGATTTGACTATCTGGGTTTGGGGGTTTAAGGCGTAGTGTGCGCACCTTGAAAAAATGATTGCTGATAAAAAAATAAAAGGTTACCAAAAGTTTCATCCATGTCAAAAAATACTGCATATACATGTACCATGTTACAAATCAACAAAATTTATCGCACCATACCTTTGAGACCAAACACTCCGGCACCCATTTGACCAGTGAATCCAATTCTCTAGCCAAACGTATCCTATTTTTTAAGATGACATGATGCATATGGCAACAAGCCAGTGTACTTGAATTGGACTGTTCGCCTGTCCACCCTTGATTGAGGTGCCACAGTGATGTACCACAAGGGCTATTCCCCTCTACAGGTGCCAGTGGAGGGCACTTGAGTTTACCTCATTTGCCATGTGATTTTGTAAAGCTTCATTATTTTAGACAGGTGCCTAACAGGTTGCATGTGCTGTGCACCTAAATAGTTCTATTACATTTTTATTGTTTGCTCTAATATAATTACACAACGGCCATTGGTGTGTTGGTGAATAGTGGTCATTGGGTATCACTATATCTGAGTTGTGGTCTTGGGTATCACAACCACTGTTGATATGTTGGTGGTCATGGGTACCCCCTATAGTGATCTTTGTTGAGATTGCTTGACTCCTTAATCCAGTTTGCCCTAAATTTGTGGTATTGGTATTCCAGATGAACAGTTAAATGTTAATTAAAATTGAAGCTGTGGCGAGAGACACATACAATAAAACTGCCTTGTTGGTGTGCCTATTCTTTCAGGAGTTTGAGTATAATCCATTGTTAGTTTCGTGTTATTCTATCTTTAACCTTACTGAGCATCCTGGACTTGGAAAAGTTATTCTATGTCATTTAAAAGGTTAAGGGATAAGATGATTTTCCTTACTGTTCTGATTCCACGTCACAATTTCTTTTAACGCTCACTTGTAACTAGCTTGATTATGGAAAATGTAGTACTGGTTGTTGTTGGCAAAGTTTAGGATACATGATTCTGAGATAAATATAACTTGTATGAAGTGTTGGCTCATTGAATTTTCTGGTGTTTGTCAGGCAGAGTTTTTTTCTGTTTCTTTCTTTTTTATCTTTTATACTTTTGTATTGTTTACCACGCATTAATTTTAAAATCTTGTTTGTTAAGTTTGCTACCAGTAGTTTGTAACCATTTTCCCCATTTTGGTTTATAATTTGTATTTAGTTTTTTTATAATACTGCAGTGTCCACGATACTTGGTTTAATACAGTGCTGGTCAAATAGGAATTTCAGCATCAAGTTGTTTCCTGTCACTGGTGATTAAGTTTTTAAACGAAGTGCATTTAGTGTAGAAGTTAAAAGATTATCTCTTCTGTTTTAGCTGTTTTGTGCACTCACCTCACTTTTGGTTTTGACCCTGGGACACAGCTGTGGAGCATGAAGTGAACTGGCAGTGTAGGGTCCAGATGGCCTTGGTGCCACTGGCCAAGGAGTGTGTGTGTGTGTTAAGGCACCCCTGGGAAGGATTGGGGTATGCTTTGTCTTTTCTCTTGTTTCAGTGTTATATTTTAATGCCCTGCATTCAGTGAGTTTTATAATGCAAGTTTGGGAAAGGAGTTAGACCTTGGCCAGAGGAGTTGATCTTCTTGTTTCTCTGGGAAGGCTATGTTCTGTTGAGTGAGGTATACTTTAATACTGGATGATCAGTAGANTTATCAATGGTTAAAATGTAATTTGTCAGTTGAAATTGGTGGAGTTTATCTTGATTTCCACATTATAATTTGGACTTTTTGTGTATTTTCTGTTACGGGGTTTTTCCTTGTGCCATACAATTTGCACTCTATTAAAGTCCAAATACCACCACATTCTGATGTGTGTCAAGCATGTTTTATTGCTCACAGCAAATTGCAGGTGTGTTTTTAAATCCACAAGCAATTTATATTACATTTAATTTTACAATTACATTTATAATTTACAGCAACTCAATCAGTTACATTGCTTATGATCAATAGCAAAGATGCCAGTCTGTACACGATGCTCAAATGAAAGGAAAGACAAGTCCGAGGCGATATACCCCTGTCCCACTTCAAGATGTGAATGGACGTATAACAAGACACCGGCGGACCCGGAGGGAGCCAGCTAAACATCCCAAGAATGGATGTACATTGTACTTGTAAGAATTTTGCCAAATGACAAAATCAAAACTAATCCACGTACTGTACATGTATGTGCATTTCTGTTAGAAAAAGGTTGGCATGCTGCTGGACTGAAAAGGCCATCAAAGAGTGGAAATTATTTGTATTACAAGTCTTTCAAGTCTTCCCTCCTAGAGTGATAACTTGTAATTTGTTGGCACTTGCAACTGGCATGTATTATGGAAGTTTCCATACCTCATGACGAATGTGTATATTGTGAAATACAAAGGTTATACATGTAAGTACGTATGTATATGTACAAGTAGCAGATTGTAAAATCATTTGTGAAAATAAATGTGTTCACTGCTATAAATATGGGCTTTGTAAAGAGAAATATTGGCAGATTTTAAGTAAAAATAAGTCTAAAGAACTTTTTAAGGGACAGTCGTCATTGTTTATTTGTTGCCAAGGTTTTTTAATTACATGTATAGTGTTCACGATACTTGGGTCTCTAAAGATAAGGAAACAGCATTACAGATGTAAATGTGTGATACTTGTCCTGATCTATGTCGACTTTACATTGGTACTTTGAATTTACTTGCTTAACTGCTCAATATTTGGGCAGTAACTGAATGGAGGCCATCACATCTGTCAGTGCAGTGTGTTGGCTTTCAGTATGCCACATTAAGTATTCTGTCATTGAAACCATGCCACAGAAAAAAGACACAAGTGCAGAAGGGGGATGGGAACTGATTTTTGTCCAAGCCTCAGGGTCCATCCTTGATTGTGACAGAACTAATTAGTGAAGTGCCTCAATACAAGCCTTTGTATTCTCACTCAACTGTCAAATTGGAATGCTGTATTCTAAAAGAATGATACAGGTAAATTTGTGGAACACTGGCAATTACACTGGCCTTCCATGTTAATCCATGAGAAAGATGGCTGCCAGTAGAATTTAAATGTCAGTTCGTAGCATGTTAAGACAATTTTCTGTCCATATCACCGGAGACCATCACAAGCAGGCAATTCTTCCCCTTTTCATTAAAATTGAGAACAATCCTGAATTACCATGCTTATGGATCCTTTCATTTGAGATGCATGAGTAGGATGTGCAGTGCTGATGCACTTCAAGGAATTTTTCTAGATTATTCGAATAGTCAT